GCTATGGAATTCATGGTCACTCTTCTGAGGGACAAAGCTCCTGAGCCCTAACTCTGTGTCCTTCTGGCTGTGTGGCAAGAGGAAGTCACTTCCCCACTGTCTCATGATCTTTAAATTCTCTTCCTCTCTCAGCCTCTAGTCCTTTGAGATAGGAAATGAAGCAGGCCCTTCACTGAGGTCTGTAGGGAAACTGAGTTTGCCGCTAACATAGAACATTATCTTCTAGGGTATGTGTAATATAATTTTTTTACCTTTCTGTTTAAAAGTTTAAAATATCATTCCTTTGAACTGCAGATCTCCTAGTACTTGGCCCATCTTAGCAGCAAAATGAAGATCTGAATTTAAGGTCGGTGTGTAGGATGTATCTGCTGGGCTGAGGGTTCCTATGAACCGAGGAAATGGGAGAGACATATTTCTTCAGCATTAAGTCAGTAGCGTTATACTTCTTTGTTTCATTAGTTTTAGATTTAGTAGTAATGGATGTAGACTCGGGTTGAACTATAGTCTGTGTGTGTGTGTGTGTGTGTATAAATTTATTTCTGGGAGATATCAATAGGAGGAATTTGATCTAAACTGTCTGAAACTGCAAGTGTCTCTATAAACTACTAAATCTACTTTGTGAGAAAATGCATTTTCCAGTGACTGTAATATGATAACTAGCACAAAACTGGAATTCTACTCAGTTCTGTAACTCATAAAGCAAATGACCAAAGGCACCAAATTTCCAGTCTGGAAAATTCCATTAATGAAAAAGAAGTCCAGGCAGTTTTTAGCCACTCATCTTAATTACTATTGCTGGCCATCCATTTCTCCCTGATTCTATAGAGTGGATTTATTTGCACAATAATCAAATCCCATGTTTTGTTTTGGCTATGTCAAGGTACATAGATCAGTTTGCAGATTACATAGGTTAGTGCTGCATTTTCTCCACTTAAACCTCTTATTGAATCTTCCTTTTCTTTTGACAAGGGGAATTTTAAGGAGCAACTTTTTGCATATTTTTTTTAAATTGTGCACTAGAGTTATAAAGTTTTATAAGCCAATGTTTCCTCATAAACCTAATACAAACATTATAAAAAATTAAATATCGTTTGGAATTTTCCTGCAAATCCAAGAAACTTGTCATGGTAGAGCTTGGAATTTTATGTAATTTTTCATTATTTGATCAAGTTGGGTTTGAAGTGACTACTCAAGTCTCTAAATTTAAGAGCAGATAATTTAGACCTCATGGAAAAGAAGCAAGTAAAAATGTTTCAGGCTTATTCCACAGCTTACTTATCATAGAACCCTACAACTCACTGAACTCAGGATGTTTTGTATAAAATAAATCCCAGTGTTCATAAGACCCTTTAAATGTTGGTAGTCAAAGGGTTATCTTTGTCTTATTGAGATAAGGAGCATGTCCAAAATGTGAACTGCTTCCTTCATGAAGATATTCTCAATCTTAGAAATAGTCAGCTCAATGCTTTGCTAATAGCCAAACCCAAAACTACTTGTTTCTCACGTCTTAGCTGCTCTATTGAAAAACTTGAGATAAAGGACAGCCCAATGTTCATATAGCTTGGCCAAGTTACTGAACTATTCTGTGCCTCCGATGGCAGGCTGGGGAGGAAGTGTGAGCCCAGAGCTCAGTGAGTAAAATGTAATTATCAAGATATCAGCATGAAGGGTGGAGGTGGTATGGGTTGATGGCTCCCTGGACAAATGCTTTAAAATAGCAGGGCTGTAGCAGAAGAGAGTGGTCAGATGGTCAGGAATTGGCATGCAGGGCCGGAAGTATCTGGGGGTAAGGGATTGAGAAGGCTTCCATCTGAGAGGTTTATAGGGGGAAGCATGAATGTCCTTGGGACATAGACAAAGTTTTATTTGTATCAGTGAGGTAAAGGGAAATTTAAGACGAGATTGGGGGTATATAAAAGAGCTTATGAGGAGGTGTGAACCCAAGGGCCCCATGGAGGAGTTTACAGAGGAGGGAAAGGAAGGAGCACTGACTCAGTCTGAAGCATGTGTGAGCAACATTGGGGTGAGAGCCCCAATAAGATGGGATGACTCAAGAAGCTGCGGAGGTCCTCCTAATGTGGCTGATGAAACAGGAAGTGAGGCGGGTTAGGATGAGCACTCAGGATTGTCTGGAGGAGAATGGGAAGAAATTCTTGGCTTAGTGCTTGGATGGTAGCTTCTTCTTGCCATTCCTGACATCTCACACAATTGGACGGCTTAACTGTTTACAAACTCTAGAGGGTTGTTGTCAGCTAATTGAAATAATATGACTAAACACTATTTGTCTGTCATTCTATTGTCATTTAACACATTTTTCTACAAATATTTCCATAGCACCAATTGTATGCAATGCACTTCAAGGCCTTATCAGGAATGTACATTCAAGCACACAGTTGTTACCTATGCCAGACTGATTGTAGTCTTATAAAAGAGAAATGCTTTATGTTCAGAAGGCCCACATTGGCAAAAAGACACTATTCACCTCATCTAAATCAACAAAGCAAATTAATGTAACATAGTCCTTTTCTTTTCTTTTTTTTTT